CAGAAACAATTCCAAACATACTCAGCTACCTTATCTTTGGCAAAGGGAGCAACAAGTTCACTTGAAGAAGGATATTTCTACACCCTGAAGACTAAATCTAGACCCATGTCTATCACCGTGCACTAAACTAAGATCAAAATGAATCAGAGATCTAAATATTAAAACAGAAACACTAAATCTGCTGGAAGAAAAAATAGGTAGAACTCTTGAAAAAATAGTTATGGGCAAACACTTCATAAACAAAACCCTAACTTCATGGGAAATACTACAAAGAATCAGCAACTGAGATCTCATCTTATTAAAAAGCTTTTGCATAGTGAAAAGATAACCCACAGAGAGGGGAAAAACTTTAGCCAGGTGCTCCTCAGATCAAGGACTAATATTTAGAATGAAGTGAAAAAAGTCAGACCCCCCCCAAATTTAAAAACACAATCCAAAAATGGGCAAGTGAGATGAATACATACTTCTCAGATGAAGAATTCGAAACTGCAAATAATATACATAAAAAATGCTCAGAATCACTGGTCATTTGAAAGCAGCAAATTAAAACAATGCTGAGATTCTGTCTCACTCCAAAAAGAGTGGCTATTACCAAGAAATCAACCAATAACAAACGTTGGCAGGGCTGTGGGGAAGAAGGAACTCTTATCTACTGTTGGTGGGAGTGTAGACTTGTGCAACTACTAAGTAAATCAATGTGGAGGTTTTTCAAAAAAGTTAGGACTAGAGGTCCCATTTGACCCAACTATTCTGCTTCTTGGTATTTTCCCAAAAGAATTAGATGTATCACACCAGAGTTATATATGTGTACCTATGTTTATAGCAGCACAGTTTGTAACAGCTAAATATTGGAAACAATCCAAATGCTCATCAACTAATGAATGGATAAAAAAGATTTTTTTATACATTGAAGTACTACTCAACCATAAAGTATAAACTTGAGACATTTGTAGCTAAATGGATGAACTTTGGGCCCATACTCTTAAGTGAAATAAATTGGACAAACATGTAAGTATTGCACTGTTTCTCCAGTGTGAGAAACTGAAAGTGTAAAGAACCAAAATGTATAATAGATATTGTGAAATAGGAAGAAATTGTTCAAAAGGTAAGGGTAGGGAGGTGAAAAGGAAGAAAGGTGTCTTAGCTACTTTTCTCTCATTTCTAAGACAAAATGCCTGACACCCAAAATTAAGGAAGAAAAGGTTTATTTAGCTCACAGTTTGTGGGGGTTTCAGTCTATACTTGGCTGGCTCCAAGGCAGAGTGGCACATGGCAGAGGGCAACAGTTTGTGGTTGTGGAAAACAGCAAAAGAAGCAAGAGCAAAAAGGGAGGAGCAGCAGTGAGCAAATCTCTTTTACTCCCTTATATTGCATACAAACTACCTGCCCCAGGGCCACTGTAGCACTCATACCCATAATCCCAGCATTGGACCATGAATCAATCATAAACTCTAGAAGCCTACCCCATGACTATATGAGGTTTTGGGGGAACATCTAGACAGAAACCATAATATTCCAGCCCTCCCCTCCCAAAACTCATGCATATCCCTTTATGCAAAAGGCATTTTAGTCTATCTCTAACAATTGGCAAAGTCCTGACAGTTTCACAATTACTGAAAAGTCCAAGTTCCAAGTCTCCTCCAAGATGTAAGGCAAACTCCTAGCTGAAAGCCCCTGTACAAATGAAAAGTTAAATCCTTCCAACATTCAGTGGCACAAGATAAACATTACCATCCAAAAGGTACAAACAGGGAGATACAAAGCATTGGGACCAAAGCAAGACCAACATCCAGCAGGGCTAACATTAAGTCCTATAGTTCCATGTGGAACATCTGAAGAAATCTGTGGTAAATTGTGAACCCCAACGGGCTTGCATGACTTCTGGTGGTTGCAGCTCACATGGCTTCTCTCTCAGGCTCACTTTGCTCCCTCCTTGCAGCTTTCCTCAATCCACATTCCTGGCTTTTCAAACTATTGGGGTCTTCACTGCACCTTTCGCTTCACACTCACAGCTTGCACACTGCCCTGTGAGGGGCACACGGCTTGGGTTCCCAGGCCTTCTGAAATCTAGGTGGAAGCCTTCTTAACCTCAGAACTCTTGCATTCTGTATGCACCTAAAACCAGCACCATGTGAATGATGCCAAAGTTTACTGCCAAGTGGAGCAGTAGCCGGTTTTCTTCCTCTTGGCTGTGGGGGTCCAGTGCTTGGATCGCTGAGCACTCTGAATGTGATTCTGAGAAACAAATTCTCTTTGCTGCTGCCATTCTTGTATATGGTGTTCTGTGGCTTTCTCCTCAAAGCAGTCTTTCACTTCTGCAGGTTTGAGGCTGCAAAAGGGTGGAGACATGCTCCTTCTTGTGATACCCTCAGGCCATCTTTTATATTCTCTTATTCCTACTCAGCAATTGAAATCTGCTCAGCTCTATCTTTGCAATCCACACCTTTACTGGAGCTTCCTTTGTGGCCAAATTCACATTTTAAATAATCCTGCTGGGCTCTTTGCTCCTGATTCTCACACAGATCTGGCTAAAAGCCCCCAACAATAGCCATGCTGCTGCTGCAACATTTGACTGCCTTGAAATTTCTTCTGCCAGATTAATTAGTCTGCCACCCGTAATCTCCATCTCAGGCAAAGTCTCTGGACATGAGCAAAATGCAAACTTTCTGCCAAGCCCTAACACACATCATCTGGAGTCCAACAACCAATGCAGTCCTTCTTCCCTCTCAAATCTGATCTTTACTGGCAGGACTTTTATCAGCCTTCTGGTCTTCTGAGCTCTGACCAGCATCTCCCATACAGAGCAGCTGAAGGTGTTCTAGTGCTTCTCTTTCAGGTGAAATCTCCAGAACTTTCCAGACACTTCCAACAAGCCATTTCCAAAGGCTCTTGAATAACATGGTCAGGTATAGTCACAGCAACAACCCCACTTCTCTGGTACCAAATTCTGTCTTGGTTACTTTTCTCTCCTTGCTGCGACAAAATATCTGAGAATGGATTGAAATCTCCACAAACTGTGAGCTAAATAAACTTTTCCTTCCTTAAATTTGGGTGTCAGGTGTTTTATCCCAGCAAGGAGAGAAAAGTAACCAAGACAGAAGGGAAAAGAAAAAAGTGAGAAAAAAAAGGATAAAATTGAAACAAAATTTATGAACAAGGAGGAGAAAAGGGGTTGAAGGGAGGGATAAGGAAGTGGGATGGGGAAAATAACAAGACTCAAGATATATCATGTACAGGTATAAATCCCCTATGATGAATGTGAGCATTATGTATATCTAAACTGTACCAATAAATTTAATAATAAAAATGTTTATACCAAAAAAAAGATTGTAAGACCCAAGGTCTGCGCCACCTTGTTAGTTTTTTAAACTCTGTGTTAAGAGAATTTGTGGTGTATACAAAATAGTTAAGTATGTATGCGTCACTCATCCAATATTCAATATTCAGTGCAATACTCATATTCAGTATTCAACAACCATCAGCCTTTTGCCTACTTACTCCATCTAGCCATTCTTCCCCTCTTTTTCTGCCAGAGTACTTTAAAGCATTTCTCAAACAGCACGTCATTTGTCATTTTACCTCTAAGTAATATACATCTCAAAACAGTCAGAACATTTCCTTTACCTGACTACAAGGCCGCTAACACCACAAAACTCAAAATTTCTTTCTTTTTCTTGCTTTACACACTCCCTTGCAGTACTGGGCATTACACCAGGGCCTTTACACTGAGCTACTTCTCCACGTGTGTGTGTGTGTGTGTGTGTGTGTGTGTGTGTGTGTATTTTTTTCTTTTGAGACAAGGCCTTGCTAAATTGCCAGGTCAGGTTTAGAATTGAGATCCTCCCACCAGTACTGGGATTACATCATAATTTGTTAATAGCATCTAATCCATTCTCAAAGTTCTGTGATAATCCTTAAAATATCTTTTCCTACCTGCTTTATTTGAATCAAAATAAGCAAGGGCTGATCTGCTTTCTGCAGGTTATGTCCCTTAAATAGCTTTTAAATTTTTGTCTCTTTTAACAAAAGCTGCCCCCCGCACCCACTGGTAGAACAGTCATTTGTCTTACATAATGTCCCACTTTCTGCATTTGGTTGGCTGCTGCCTTGTGCTGGTGTTTAACTTAAACCTGCCATATCACTTGTAAACAGGAAGTTGGAATGACAACTCTTGACTGGATTCAGGTTTAATTTTTTTTAACCACGTCAGCTAGTACATATCTGATTGTCTTATTTTGGAATGCTAATCTAGGGTTGTTTGTTTGCTTTCCTAAGGAAAATAAAGCACTTACCTGAATCCAGAAGGAAAACCATAGACCAAAGTATATTCAGAGAAGTCTTATTTTCATCCTGGTTCTTACGTCTTGTCCTTTCTCTCACCATAAAGGTCGTTGTCTTTTTACCTTGGTTTCATTTAGTTGATAGGAGTGTATTAGGAGATAGACTGTGTGGAAATGAGGAAGGGATCTGAGACTGAAAAGAGATGGAGGGAAGAGGGGGAAGTAAAGACGATCAAGTAGGATAAGTGTATATGTCAATTCCCCACAGTGAAAATATTTTATATATGGCAAATATAACAGAAAGGGAAAAATACAAGAAAAGAAAATTCAAGCACACCAATAGGTAGTACTATGTACTATACACACTCTATCTACCGGTGTGCACTTTGCTGTTTTCACTTTATGGTGTGTCCTGAGTATCACTCTGTATCAGTGTATGCAGACCATGCTCATTCCTTTTGCAGCTTCTGAGGGTTACATTTTGTGAATGAACTACAGTTTGGTCAATTAGCTTCATGTATCAATGGATACTGCCCATCTCTTGCTATTACAAAAAATACTACACCAAGTACATAAGTTATTTTGTGTTTTTACAAGTGTATCATTGGTCAAGATTACTAAGAGTGGAATTCTCGCCCATAGGGTAAAACATATCTTATATTGCTACTTAGTCAATCTGTTACGGAATCCAATATTAATTTATATTGTTTCTTTCATCAGAAAGAAGCCAAGACAATATACAACTGTGAAAATTTAGGTCTCAGTGAAATTCCTGACACTCTACCAAACACAACAGAATTTTTGGAATTCAGCTTTAATTTCTTGCCTACAGTTCAAGATACAACCTTCAGCCAACTCCTAAACCTTACCTTTTTGGATTTAACCAGGTATGTGTGTGAGTGCCTTGGGGGGGTCTGGATTTTTCACTTAAGTTAAAACACACACAGACATGCACACACACACACACACACACACACACACACACACACACTGGACTTCAATTGATTCCTGGATCTTTTGGATGCAGGGACAGTCTGCTTATGCTGCATGTTCATTTGCCCTTTCTCATGAAATAGTTTGTGCCAGTGAAATGTGATTCAAATAAGCACCAATCAATGGAGAGGAAATTTGATTATTCTCAAATTAGCTGCATCAGCAATACTGTTTAAGAAGTTCTCAGGAATATTGATAGCAAAACTAAAAATAAATCTTACCCTAAATCAAATGCCATATTATACTACATTTTGGTAGAATGGGCTATTATCAGATCATGACATTTAGGAAAAAATTCCAGGAGAAATACACCTACTAGTTTTATTTTCTTTTTACAAATTGGAAAAAGAGTAAAATTACTTGGTTTTAGTAGCAGAATTGGGATTCCAAATGCTGAACTAGTATTGGAGAACCAATAGGCAGAAGTACGAAAAAAAAGTAAAGAAAACAAAAGGGCCATGCAGCTTACTGTGTTTGGGGGTGGTAAGAAGGAAGGGGCCTCACACATCCATGATGTTTGGTATCCTTCACCTCGGTCTGTCCTTCCAGTTACACTTCTGCAAGTTGGGAGAACACACACACACATAGTAATGGTTCACATTTATAACACCATTGTGAAGTCCCCATGGTGAAAAGTGCCACCTTGTATGGGTAGATGAGGAAAGCACCAGTGTGGTGTGTGTGTATGTGTGTGTGGTCCACATCTTTAGTTTGACACTCAATAGTTCTACTATCTAGCCGTCACTTTAATACATCATACATGAAAAAAGGGGATTGAGATTCAGCGGCTGAGTGGGTGCTTAGCACTCACAATACCCTGGATTCAATCTCCAGCACAACCACTTCCCCACAAAGTTGAAAGATGATCGTAACTTTCTCAGGATAGTACAGGTTTACACAACTATATATTATATATCATGTATTGTCTGTTAGGCATCACACGTGACATTTTACTTATTACTTAAAATAGCAAATCTTAGGGACCAGATAGCTGGAATAAAGTCTAAATTAGAGTGTTCAGAACTGAGGCTATTTTTTAATTAATTCAACAGACTATGGGTATGAAATAAAGCTTCTTATGTTTGATTTTGAATAATAATATGTTCTGTTTTGCTATATACAAAAAATGGTTCATTAGTACATGTCACTTTTACAGTGGTAATTTTTCTTTTTTTTCCTTTTTTCCCCAATGAATGATTGTTACATCCTGTAATCTTTCAAGGTGCCAAATTAACTGGATCCATGAAAACGCTTTTCAGAGCCATCCTCAGCTGAGCACACTTGTGTTAACTGGAAACCCCCTGATATTTGTGGCAGAAACAGCACTTAATGGGCCCAGATCACTGAAGCACCTGTTCTTAATCCAGACGGGAATATCTAGCCTTGAGTTTATCCCAGCACACAATCTGAAAAACTTGGAAAGTTTGCATCTTGGAGGCAACTATATTTCCTCAATTAAGTTCCCCAAAGACTTCCCAACGGGGAATCTGAAAGTCTTGGATTTTCAGAATAACGCCATACACTACCTTTCTAGAGAAGACATGGACTCTCTGAGACCAGCTACCAACCTGAGCCTTAACTTCAATGGCAATGACATTAGAGGTATTGAACCTGGGACTTTCAAGTCAACGGTCTTCCAAAGTTTGAATTTTGGAGGGACTGTTAACTTGTCTGTTATATTCCGTGGTCTGCATAATTCTACTATTCAATCTCTTTGGCTGGGGACATATCAGGACGCTGAAGACCAAGAGTTGAGTCCAATCATGTTTGAGGGGCTTTGTGAAATGTCTGTCGAGAGCATGAACCTGCAGAATCATTATTTCTCTAACCTCTCCTTGACCACATTTCAGTGTTTTACGCATCTCCAGGAACTGGATCTGACAGCCACCCACTTGCACGAATTGCCACCTGGGATTAAAGGTATGAATTTGCTGAAGAAATTAGTTCTCAATGTAAATAGCTTTGACCAATTGTGTCAAATCAATGCTGCTAGTTTCCCTTCCCTTACACACCTCTACATCAAAGGCAACAGACACAAACTTCAACTTGGTGTTGGCTGTTTAGAAAAATTAGAAAACCTGCAGACACTCGACTTAAGCCATAATAACATTGAGGCTTCTGATTGCTGCAATCTGCAACTCAAAAATCTGCCCCACTTGAAAAGCCTGAACCTGAGCTACAATGAGCCCCTCAGTCTCCAGAATGAAGCATTTAAAGCATGTCCTCAGCTAGAACTCCTGGACTTGGCACGCACTAGCTTAGCTGTTAAGGCTACACAAAGTCCTTTCCAAAACCTTCATTTCCTACAGGTTCTGAATCTCTCTTACTGCTCCCTTGATACCAGCAACCAGCATCTTCTAGCAGGCCTGCCAAATCTCCGGCATCTGAATTTACAGGGAAATCGCTTTAAGGATGGGAATATCCCAAAGACCAGCCCATTTCAGATGGTGAGCACTTTGGAGATTCTGGTTTTATCCTCCTGTGATCTCTCTTCCATAGACCAGGAAGCCTTCCACAGCCTTGGAAATGTCAGTCATATAGACTTAAGCCATAACAGCCTGACATCCAGTAGCATCAGTGCCCTCAGCTGGTTTAAGGGCACCTACCTCAATCTGGCCACCAATAGCATTCGCATTATCCCAGCACATCTCCTCCCCATCTTGTCCCAGCAGAAAATCATTCGCTTAAGTCACAATCCCCTGGACTGCACTTGCTCAAATATTCATTTTTTAACATGGTACAAAGAAAATGTGCAAAAACTCAAGGACTTTGAGGAAATCAGGTGTGCAAATCCCCCGTCGCTACAGGGAGTCCAGCTATCTGATGTCACACTGTCCTGTGGGATGACAGCCGCGGGCATTTTCTTTCTGACAGTATTTTTGTTCTTGTCAGCTGCTCTTCTCATCTATACAGTTAAATTCTTTCTCAGGTGGAAATATCAACACCTTTAGTGATGAAGGCTTCGGGGAAGACAAATAAACGTGTTTATCAAAATTGCCCCAAGTGGAGAAGCTGTCCTCTGTGGGTGATCGAACTTTTCGGATGGTTCCTGGTGCTGGGCTGGGACTGACTGTCCTTTTCTGAGCTTTTTACTCTGGCAAACCTTCCATGGGGGGTAAACTGACTCAGACCAAAACCCAGACACTGTTGTGAAAGACACAGAGCCATTTATTTGTGTAGAAGAAGGTGGGCAGGAGGTGAGGGAGGGGTTACCCACCTGGACACATCTGCCCTCCTCTCTCTGTAACATCCCTCCTGATGCTTCTCACATTGTCACTGGAAGGGGAGTGCTAGGGCTCCCCTCTTGGCAATGCTGGGGCCGGTCCTCCCTTCCCCACCGCCTCATCCACAGTTTCCATAGTGTGCTTGAGTCTCAATTCTCACCAATCTACCCATTTGGGAAAAGCAGGACAGGACAAAGTCTCCAGGCTTGTTTTAAATGCAAAGAGGAAAACACAATGAATTTAAAAGAAAAGACAGAAATGAATACTGCTATCAAATAAACTCTGTTAACCTCTTTAACCCTCGGGTTTCTAAGGTCTCTATAATGCCCCTAGCATGCAAATAACTGCAAAAAGACTCCCCTTGACATCCCCAAGGATTAGCATTTCACTGGGCTCACTCACTCCATAACCCAGGAGGCTCCCAGCTGCCTATCCCATATTCTGGCTCTTAGGTTGCAGGTCCAACTTACAGGTGGACTGTGGTCCAAAATGCTCATATCTGGTCCTTACAAGCTGCTTTCCCACAGATGCTAGAAGATAAGTGGTGATTTTGTTCCCAGGGTGTTTCTCAAAAGCCTATTCAACTTGGAGAGCATCCAAGAAAGAACATTCACAATGGAAACCAGTGGAAGAAGCCACCCCTGCATGGACACTGTTGGGGACACAAGGACACCAGCTCACTGTGAAGTTGTTTTTTGCTGAGGCTGAAGTTTTCAGCAAAGGTTGTGCCAGTTATAGACAGAGGACAATGGCATTGGTGCAAATAGACGACGAGGACTGGGATGCTGGTAATGTCATGGTATAGACCTTCCCAAGGCCCAAAGAGCTCTACTCCTGCAGGACTTGATCTTCTCAAGTCTGGATTGAAGCAAGATTGCTGGGAACTCCCTTACTTAGGTGCCACATGGACAGTCACCCTCCTCCTCTGCATCCACGGATGGACAATATTCAGAAAAAAATCCATATGTACTGAAATATGTGGACTTTATTCACATTATTATTCCCTAAAAAGTACAGGGCATTTGTATTGCCTCAGGTATGAGAAGAAATCTGGGGATGATTTAAAGTATACACGAAGGTGTGTAGGTTACTTACAAATATTATGCCATTTTATATAAGGGATCTGCAGATTTTGTTATCCACAGAGGGCCCTGGAAGCAACCCCCCTCTGGAAACCAGGGGATGATTGTATCAGCCTTGATTAAATGCTACAACTAGTTTTAGGCTAGAGATGTTAATTTATAGCTCTGAAATTCTTATTAGATATCCAAGTAAAAATTGTACCAGATTTACCACCAAGCCAGTGTTTACTAGCCCTTAGGTGGGCACATGATCGGGGGACACTATGACAGAGTGGAAATGTGAAAACCAATCCTCTTGGTCTGTTTTCCTCTCTCAGGAAAATCAATACAGGCTGAGCCCCAGCCGTGGCGAGCCTCTCCCCTGCTCAGGATTTCAGCCCTTTGCACTTGCTCTATGCTTGGCTGGAGGGCTCTGCAGTCAGTCTCCAAGTGAGATTCCAGCACCTGTATTTCCTCCCTGGAGAGCTCCTCCCTCTCCTAGGCAGCCCAAACCAAATTATACCACACCCAGAACGCTTTCTGGCACCTTCATTGTCTTTAATTTCAGTGTATGGAATTATCTTCCTCCTTTGCTTCAATTTGTCTTGTCCTGTTTCCCTCACCTATGTGAGCTTCATGACCAGGGCTTTGCCCAGTGGTGTGCTAGAGCACACCCAGGACAGAGTAAGGTCTCAATATACCTTTAATGGTTGGTTACTGGCATTTTGCTTAGCCTCTGGCTCCCGAGCTTTTATCAGCACCTACTTCTGCCCTTGTGCCTAGCTTTAACTTCAGTCCATATTGCCAATGTCCCTGGGCCTCCCACATGTTTCTTATCAGAATAATTCGGACATTTTGCGAAAAGTGAATTGGTATGTCTTAAACCAAGAAACTGGGATTCTGTTGGATGGAACTTGGCTTTGATTCTCAGCCTGATGATTGATTCCATGTAAAATCCTTTCTTCCTTCTACTTCTCTCATTTCAGAATGTAGAAGATCCGCACTCTAAGACCAACTCATTTGGTTCCTTCTGTATTTTGTTCGTAAGCTTCAGAGGGGAAATACTGATTGCTAACCCACCCCCTAAAGCCACACTGTCCCCAGTGATGTTTAATGTGTAACTTGGAAACTCAGAAGCATTCTGTAGAAAACCTCTGATGCAGAGTACTTCACACTAAAGACAACAAGGGCCCGAGCCCTAGCAAGATATAACTACCCACCTCGCTTTTGTTTGTCAGGCATGCTCCCCTTCCATGTGAAGCAACTTGCTGCCCCGTAACGGCACACTGAGCTAAGGCTTTGTGACAGCTCCTCTGTTTTAAGCAACAGTAAATTCACCCCCACAAAGTCAGAAAGGGAGCTTTTTGATGGCTGCTGTCAATTTTATTGCTTTATCTGGTTACTAGGGTAGAATCTGTAGACACGGTGTGTTTATTGGTTTTATGTATTGCATGTTGTTGCTGCTCTGACAAGCTACTCCTATAAAAATGTGTTATTATTGCATGATGTAGCTCAGTGAGCTGACCCTGCATTTCAAAGTGTACTGAAGCAAATAGCTTTGAAGTCCATAAAAGCTGACGGGCCTCCATCAGAGAGGACTTTCTGTGCCGACTGCAACTCCCACAATCTGGGAAAGAATTACATCTTCCCCTTGCCAACCACCACTGCTATAATAGTGCAGCAGTGTCCCCAACACAGGCATTGCCTGAAAACTGCCAATACAGAAACCTTGCAGTATTCTTACTTGTCCAACTCTCTGATGAGTATTGATTATGGGATAACCGGCTTTGTAATGTTTTCTCATATTGGTATAGGATATAAGAGGAAAAGTTAACAGTGTTTTCTATTTGCTCTGAATACTGAAGGGATGCTTAAGGTGAACTGCAGCAAGGGAGGATGTGGTTAGCTTCAAGCAAGCTGGGAGCGGGATTCAATTGTCTGATACATTGAGTTTGCTAGTTTTCTTCCTTAGTAAATTACTTGGCTTTAATCTTTGATTGTTCATTTTATATCTTCCTGACATTTCGCTAGGAGCGTACTCATTGTTTGCTTGACTTTTTATTATGAACTATGGCATATGTAATATAAGTATAAAGAATAAAAGCAAAATGGGTACCTGTACAACAGGTTTTTTTAAAGTTTGGAAGCCTAACAATGCAGGAATTTGCCTGAAGGTGACAGAGGAATGGAGGAGCTCATTGTGCATCGCAAGCTCAGCTGGACACCATAATAACCTGGAGAATTTTCTACAGAGCAGGTGCCTGTGCCCCAACCCTGGAGATTGAAATTCTGGTAGACTGGAATTGGTCCTGGTCTCTCAGCCAATGGATCTCCTATAAAATCCTTCTTTAATCTTAATTTCGTCAACCAGTACAGAAGAATGAGGAGTTCTAGGAATCAAATGAGCTCAATATCTTCTCCATGCTCCACAGAGGAAATGTCTTAAAAATAGGACAATGGTGCTAATGAGCCTTCCAATCCAGAGATAATGCAACCTCAGCAGACTGGAAGTGCCCTGCCTCTGCTGCTGGGCCGCAGATCTCCTCTTCAGAACCACCGCCTCCCCCTGCCCGCCCTGCCCTATGTCCTGCTTTCACCCATCACGTACTTGCTCTTTAGAGCTTAAAGTTATTTAGTGAATATGATGGAATGTAAAGAGGAAAGCACTAATCTATGGTTTACATTTTAAAGCTGTCATTTCTCATGAAAGTTTAAGTAGTGCCATTCATTGAAGACCCTCGACCACCCTCCTCACATTGAGCTAATGCTCTGTGAGTACTTGACTGCTCCAGATGTGAGATGTCAGCCTGCAAAGGTAAGCAGAAGACAAATGGCCACCACAGCACCCATACATCTCCTTCCTTTTCATCTTAGTTTATGGGCTTTCTAAATAGCTTGGGGCACCCCTTTTCTCTTTCATAGACCTCACCTAATAATGTAGAAATAAAGACGTTATTAAATAAATTAGGGGATGCTCTGAATGCATAGGGGGATATTTCATGCTCTTAGGTGGAAAACATTAATACTATAAACATGTCAATTTAATGATCAGAGAAATACAAAGTAAAATGCAAAACATTTTGTATCTATTAGACTGATAAAGAGACAGTTGGATAATAGTGTAGGTGGGATGCGGAACTGTAGAAATCATGTGACCTGCTTACAGGAGTGTAGACTGATATAGCCCTTCCATGACCATCCGGCAATAATTAGTCAACTTAGATATGCGGCCCATAAATTCTGCCCTGGAGCTGTATGGCAAGAAAGTTTCAAATGTCTGCAAAACATTTCATTGCAACATTATTTGTAGGAGAGAAAGTTCACTGCAGTTTTGGTGGTCTACCTAAGAAAAATGTGGATAAAATGGGGGAAATACCTAGTACTGGGCATGATGATGTAGTTAGAAGTAATGGACTAAATGCAACTATAGCTGAATCTTAAACATTGTTAAAGAAAATCTTTAGACTGTTTAAATTTAGCAAAGCTTAAGCAAAGAAGGATTTGTGAATTGGGTACACTCTGAAGCAGGGGAGGTTTAGAGAGCTGCACCCAACAATATGGGCAGCAGGATTTATAAATAGAAAAAGGAAATGACATACAGAAAAATCTTGATCTATTACAGCTCTGTATCTTCCTTATTTGGGTGTGGTATGTTGAGGCATTTGCCTTACATGGACAGTGTCTGATCCATTGGCTGCCCGTGATTGGTTACTTCTGTAATTGACTGGAACCCAACTGTTACATGAATACACATTTAAGTAAGGTTATAATTTGTTTATATACTAAGTTAGGTTGCAGTTCATTTAGGGATAGAGATAGCTTCAGGCCACATTTAACTAAGTTTAACACATGTAGAGCTTCATAGGTGAAAACTGAATGATTTATTAATATGATCATCTACATAAATTAAAAAGTATATATGCATAAATTATATATGTAATTGTTTTGTACATACACCTTTTTAATTTTATATATATATATATATATATATAACAGAAAATACAAACCACTAACACAGGTAGTTGCTTAGGTGCTGCAGGAGGGTGAAAGAGAATATCAGGTTAAAATAAGTGAACTCAGCCAGGTTCCATGTGCCAAGATCTGAAGAAAGCTGACCTTCATCATCCATACCTGAAGTTCTCTAACACACACACAGAAGAAAGTAATATGGCATATGTACGACAAAATGTCATGCAATCATTGTAATTAATATTGCAGAATCCATTTAGAGACTTTGAAATATATTTGTATTTTAATGGCCAAGTAAAAGAGCCTGATATTAAACAGCATGCCCACTATTTTTTAAATTTTTCAGCAAAATCAGAGCTTTAATTTAAACAGTGGCGGAGGAGTTGAGGGGTTTGCTATGATTCAATAACTTCTTGAATATTTATATTTCAAATTTTCCTTTGATGAATTTTCCATGTAAGGTCAACAAGGGGAAAACCTTCATTGCTTCTTTAAAGAGACTTTAGTTTCTGCAAAGTTAAAGAATAAAGAGGTCATGGGTTCGAAGAACAGGGCCGATTACTGCGAAAGGGTTTGTGTTTTCTAAGGGCGAGCCAACCTTCAGAGAGCGCGCGTTCCTTTTCCTTCAGGCGGCAGAGGGCGCCATATCTGTTCCGAGGGTCCCCGGGGGATGGCACAGGTCTTGCAAGGGGTTAAAGGTCTTTCGCAGATACTGCTTCCAGTCTCAACGGGGATAGACACATTTTCAACTCAGAAAATTATTACAGCACTGCACCACTTACTACAGCATATGTATTGCAGAAGGACCGAGCTTTTGGGCAGAGATTTTTATGTAGCTAGCTTCGTGCCTGAGGACGCAGAGCTGCCAGCGTGACATATGAAGACTGTAGCTGCAACATGCTCGCTGCAGGGCTCACAAACATCTTCATTCTTCACCTCCCAGCCGCTGCCAGCCATCTCTGGCAGCGCTTCGAGGAGGAGGGGATGAATATTTTTAAGAGGCATTCAGCTCCACCATGTTAATAGGCTTTGTGTAAAGTTCCTTGGGGTGATTAACTTGTAACCCGGTGCAACAGGTCTTTCTTCTCCCACATCTCAGCACAATGGACTGGCTTGTCACCGGGTGTGCCTGGAACAGTGGTCTGGGGACAGATTCCCTTCTGAAGGGCTTGCCTGTACACAAGTATTGCGATTGTTAAATAAAATTTTGTAGGAAGCCGTGGATTTGGGCTGCGTACCTATACTGGGCCCAATTGACCAAAACAATATGGAGTTTAATCAGAGTAACTGAGCTTTGGCTGAGTGCAGAGGCCCTGTAACCATTTAACTGATTGTGACAGTTGAGGTGGAGGATCAACTTGATTGGCTTTGAGATCTGACCCAGGGATTGGTGCAGAACCCTTCCACGGGTCAGGTTGGCTCTGGGAGGCGTGGCCTCGGTGTCTATATCTGACCTGGGCCCCTTCCTGACTGGTGCTGTTCCTCTGCTCTGCCTCCTGGCCTTCCTGGGCTTCTGCCATGAGGTTTCTGCCTAGAAGCCAGTTGACAGCCACAGACTAAGCCCCATAAAACGTGAGTCAAACTCCTCTTTTAAACTATGAGCGTCAAGTACTATGTCCAGCAATGGAAAAGCTGACTGATACACTGATTAAGCTGTAAAGTGCTGACGAGTTAAGCTGTAACCAATTGACTGGCTGACTGACTATGCTGTAGCCCATTAGGTTTTCTATGCCTTGATTCTGTCTCCCTCTAAGTGCTGTCTGACCACGTTGCTGGTGGGGGTTCTTAGAGCTTGTTCTTGTTCCAGGAGCTGCCTGGGTCCATTTTGTTTTGCTCAGATCAACTCTGCTGAATTCAATGGGTGTAAGGAATTTTCCTTTTAACGTTTTTGACAAAGTTGGCAGGATCTGAAGCAGAGCTTCAGAGACCTAGGGACATCAGGCCACCAAGGATAGGTACTTCCTCTCCCCTGTTGTGGCCACTGTCTGCTTGCCTATGTGGTGATCAGAGTAAGTTCTCTCCCTTGGGGCCTGAAGCCCCATGGATCACATGTTTTGAGCTGTCTGAATTTTTTTTTAATTCAAACTGGGTTTTGAAATTGTGTCCTGGTCTTGTATGGAGGTGTCACGTATCACTGTGGGTGAGGTAGAAACTGAACTGGGTTCAGTAGGAACAAGACTGGGTTCTGTGGAGAGGCCTCAGCAGTCTCACTGGGTCAGGCACAAACATGGAACCAGGCTTAGGTGGTAAGTAAGGTGGCTAGAAGGTGGCCTTATCGGTTCATCTGGATCCAGGGAGTCTAAACCCCACCATCAGAGCCTGGTTCCATGTTTGTGCCTGACCCAGTGAGTCTTAACCACTGGGCCTTTGTTAAAATCTAGAGCTCAGATCAGCATGTGAGGTATCTTAGCTGGGTGGCGAGATGCTTTTCTCTATTGTGCCTGTTACTGTAGCAGGCTCTGCTTTCACCTCAATAACTGAACACTGGGTGGGAAGCTGCTTACTTATTTTGGAGACATCTTTAGCAAAGAAAATCTACATCTGTAGAAAAAGTCTATGTTTGTAAAGGTGTCACCTTCTCTGCACCTGGAGGAGAGAGGAGACTTAAATTACTGGACTGACTACTCTTTCAGTGAAGAAAGGTAAAGACTGAAGCATGTGTGACCCGTCTCATCTACTGTCATGTCTGAAGTGGGCTGCCTATGTATGTACTGTATGTCTCAGCAGATGCTCAGAGGAAGTCTGAGGTCCAAGTGCAGTCAGCAGTGTGACTAACAGTCATTTAGGGAAGTGGGCAGTAACAGGATGTGTCAATCCAAAGTCAAACCTCCAGGACCCAACCCCCTGGCTGAAACGAGTGAAATGGTCAAAGGGCAAAGAAAATATCCTAAGAGTAAAAATTTTTTTAAAAGGTATGGCCCTTGGAAGTAGAAATGATGGTTTGTAACAAGGTCTGTCTGGGTATAGTGAGATTTTCTGCTCTGAGAATTAATCTTCAGAGAATTGGTAAGAGCTGAATTGCTTTAGAGAGCTTGTCTTTAAGTATAGCATTATGTTTAGCTGTCCAAGTATTTTCAGCTTCAAAGTAATCAACATACTAAAGCATGTACTTTGGGCTAGGGTTTCCTGAACTCCTTCCATGGCTTTGTTCA